GGCCCAGACCCTCTCTGGACTTTGTGGTTCCAGCTGCAGGGTAACAGGCTGCCACTGCTGCTGGGGGCACCGTACTGGCTCCTGACTCTACTGGTGTTTTGTGGCCTCATCCTGTTGGGGCCTGTGGGGAGCCGGATGGTAGGGCCAGGTCAGCTGTGGTGCGCAGAGCCGCCCGTGGAGAGAAAGGTGGGGTAGGCTCTGAGTCACGGCCCTGCCCTGCCACAGCTCGCTGGCTGGCAGGGGTGGGGACTGTCGGGGGTGGGGACAGAGATTGCTGAGCCTTATTCCAGTCTGAACCCTGAGAGCTCCAAGCTTCCGGCTGAGTCACAGGGAAAGAGAAACTCTAGGTGAGGCTGGGGTCTGAGTTGTTCCCGCATCACTTCCTGCTGATAGCAAAAGCCCTGGGGTGGGGAGTGGGGCCCTGCACATGGCTCTGACATGCCCAGCCCCACACGACCTTTTGGAGAAGCCTGTCGCTAGCCCCTATTTGGCTTCCTTGGAGCCCTGGACAAGCCACCTGCTCAGGCCTGCCGAGGGTGGATGGAAAGGTTTCATCCCACCTGGGAAAACTGGCCACAGCCTCAGGCAGCCCGGCTCTCTCCATACTGGACTAACCCACTGGTAGAGAATATGGGGGTTGGCACCCTCCACCACACAGACAGCAGCTTAGAAGTTAAGACCAACCCAGAGGTGTGCCAGCACTCATGGAGCCGAGGGCGCAAACACCCCCTCCCCGTCACCTCTGCACAAACAGCACCCTGGAGCGAGCACACAAGCATGGACAAGCCCTGTGGTGGGGCACGCGCGTACCTGCGAGCGTACACACACACACACACACACACACACACACACACACACACACGTGCATGCACAAGCTCAGGCAGGGCCTGCACAGATGCCTGTGTTGGGACTGTAGGTGACCCCAGACATTTGGCGCTCAGGTGACACCACTCAGGGAACCGCCAAGCAGGGACCAGCTCACACACAAAACATGGGCCTGTGACAGCATTCTGTTCCTGAGCCGATGTCTCTGACGGGCCCTGAGACCTTTGTGTGACCAGGTGCAGGCCAAGGTTAGAGCTGCCTGGCATGAGCATTTTCACCGTGAGGACGAGGAAGCTCGGCTCCTCCCAGCTGTGCTCTCGCTGGGCTGGATTTTCCTGCAGGGCTTTGGGCTTTTGTTTTTGATCCACTCGAGTGTTGAACGTGTGCCAGACACCATGCCAACCCTGGGATAACGTGTGCAGTTGTTTTCAGTAAGCTCTCGGTAAACGTGGCTTATTATGTATATTATTATTTACATACATAATCTCATTTCTTCTCATAACAACCCTGTGAAGCAAGGTGCTATTATCCCCACTGTACAGATAAGGAAAGTGAGGTTCCAAGAAGTTAAGTGGCTTGCCCTGGTAGCAAAGGGCTAGTCAGTGACAGAGGCAGGGTTTGAACCCAGGTCTCTCAGCCTCGAGAGTCTGCACTCCTAATCGCTCACGTTGAGACTCCCTGTTGGAAAGCCAGCCCCACTGAAGAGCCCCTGTGAAGTGCACAGTGCAGGAGGGATCGTGGGGGCTGAGGCCTTCAGGACACCACAGCTTTGAGTCTGAGCGGACCAGGGCAAGGAGACACAGGAGGAACATCCCCAGGATGGGAAGGTGTGGGGTGAGGGGCCCCACGCTCAGTTCTCTGTGGCATTTCTGTCCCTGTGCTCCGATGTGACTTGACTGTAGTCCCAAAATGACTGGAGGAGGTGTGGAGGCTCCTAAGCAGCTGGCTTGTGTGGACAGCTGGGCTGGGCTGGGGATGGGTAGCTGGTACCCTGGCTGCCCCTCCAGCTGGGTCATACTCTGTGTGCGTCACCCATGGCAGGTTTCCACCCCCGTCCAGGCCTGAGTGGGGCCGAGCCGTCACCTGGACTTCAGTTTTTATCTCTGACCTTTGATGTTTTTATATCTGGACAGATTCCAAGAGCAGCCTTCTGCCCAGGCAGATAAGCATTGGCAAATTTGAGCCAGCCCTTGCTTTTCAGAAAACTGGAGGGGTGCAAAAGATAAGGTGGGACCGCAGTAACCATTTGCCATAGCCTCCCTGACTTCTCGTGAGACTGCTGTGAGTTTTATGTTTTTTCACGCGCTCCATGATACACGTGAGAAAGCGAAAGCTACCTGAGAGGATGTCTACACTGCCCTACAAAGGACCGAGAGGGTATTTCTCAAAGTATAGTCCTTGGACCATTCACCCCAGAATCACCTGGGAGCTTGTAAAATTACACATGCTCAGACCCTCTCCCCGGCCCCAGAATCAAGCAGGCAGGGTCTGGAGTTGAGATCTTCTGGGTGATTTTTTTGTCACATCCTGCAGTTTGCAGACCATGGGCTCCAGGAAGAGACCTCCGGAGCCGGCCTCCCACCGCTAGTCTCTATTTTGCTGTGTGGCTTTGTGTAAGTTGCTTGAGCTCTCTGAGCTTTGATTGCTTCATTTGTAAAGTGGGGATAACAACAGTCCCTACCTGCTAGGGACCTGATGTTGTGGGCATGCACGCAGTTAGTATCTAGAACCCATTTTCCCGGAGTGGACCTGCAGTGGCCGACAGGAGGGGTCTCCTTAGGGTGGTGGTTCTTCCCAGGAAGAGAGCATAGAAAGGTCAGGCTGCTGCTTCCGGAAGGCTCATCAGCTCATTGGCACAAAACACAAGCAACATAATTGGGGCCCGGTGTGTTGGAAAGTTTTCTGGTTGGAAAGAGTGGGAGGTTAGTGCTGGGAAATTTCCTTGAGCCTCCCAGTGTGTAGAGGGCCCATGGGAATTGGTGAGGAATCGGGAATTTGAGACAAAAGACCTAGAGTCTGGTATGATACTGGACTTCCTAGTTCAGAGAGGCCTTAACTTCTCCGACCACAGCTGCCCTATATCGTTTCAGCAGCAGCAGCAGAGTTCAGACTCTAGACATTAGGCAGGAGTCTCGCCCGCTGTGAATTCCCAGTGCAGCCCAGTTCTAGGAGGGAGGCTTGTCACTGGTATGTGTTCCTCCTCTTGGAAGTGAGGATAAGATAACTTCATTTCTCTTTTCTCTTCAACTGCTGGGAGGCTCAGCAGCCCATCTCTAGTAGCTGTGTGGCGACTTATGACCTGCTGCTTCTGGAAATCTGTCCTTTTCTGGTTTCCGTGTTTTCTTCAGATTTGTTTTTCTTTTCCCTCTGCTCTCGATTTTAGTGTTTATATTTCACTACCTTCTTTTCTTTATGTTTCCTCACCCTTGTGGAACCAGGCTGGGGGTATGTAAAACCACTCATCGTGTAAACACACACAAAGCCATGTTCACAACGGCTTTGTTGGCATGTGGTACGTTGGCTTCCTCTGCTTCGTGAAACTGCATTTGTTTGTATGGTCATAATCCACTGGTCAGTTAGGAGATGCCTGAGGTTGGGCAGGGTGGCTGCTTGTTGCTTGTTTTTCTTTTCCTATCAGCTGCTTAGAATTTTTAAAATAATTTCTCTCCAAATCCATTAGTCACTTAGAGCACACACAGTACCCTGGTGGATAGATGTGTGTATGTGTTTATTTCTGTTTTCTTCTTCTCCTCTTTAATTTATTTCTTCCGTATTACACAAGTATAACCTGTAGAATCCAAAAATGATAACAAGTGAAAAGAAAAAAAAAATTCCCTGTAATCCTACCAGGGCTCCCACTTGTCAGCATTTTGTGATTCATCCTTCTGGATTTTTTTTCTATGTTTCTATTTTTCCCCACAAAAAAATACAATCTAACTATACATACTATTTTATAACTTCAGTTTCACTTCGTGGTAAATAATTAGTATCTTGTAATTACATATTCTATAACAATGAAAGGCATTTAAAATTTGTATCAAGGATACGTGCACATAATTTTTTTTTTTAAGTATAGGATGATTTATTGGGACAAGCAACAAACTTCCTCGATCTTCCCTAGCCCCAGACCTGATTAAAGGGACAACTTTTAACGACCTAGGCTTCTTGTCATACAGTGGTTCCCTCTGTATATTTAAGTGAAATGCTTATATCCCTTTTTCTGGCCTTACGTGACATACGGATTTGCTGCTGAGAAAAATAAGGCTTTCCATCACTTACATCACACTTCCCCACCTTCTCCAAACATTTTTTCTGCCACTATAGTTAGTTACCTTGGCAACTTAAAATAATATGCCCTAACCTCAGTTTCTTGTCCCCTTAACCGTTGACAGTCTCTTGCGGCACTCTTTGCTCTTAGAGGACGATATAGACACTTCATTATCCTAACTGCCCTTGCCCCAGGGTCACGGTGTCTGTCTATTGTACGTTCAAGTTTCTGAGATCAAGGCTGATAACATGAACATCCTGTTTAATAACCGTAAGTCTTCTATGTGTAGCTGTGAGGTGGTGCTAAGAGTTGAAGACCAGTGTCTGCATTTCTGTTCCGATGTAAATCGTGTTCACTGAGGGCTGTGCCGTGCTTAGAAGTTCTCTGTGGACTATATGCCACTCAAAGGGGAGTGTTACAGGTCCTTTCCTTTCTTACATGCTGTTGTGTGCTCGAAACCCATCGCTTTCTATTTTAGTTCGCTTCGTAGTTTGACCATGCCTTTTTATATAACCTGGTTTGCTTGTTTTTCTGGGCCTTCTAATACAATATCACTTTTACCAGCTGTTCGTGTTCCATCAAACAAAGTATTAGGATCATTTTCACCCAGCCTCCTGTGGCTGGACATTTAGGTTGTTTTAATTTTTCGTTAATGTGAATGGTGCTGTAATTCATGTTTCCGCCTCCCCCCCTCCCCATTCACCTTTGTGCATTGGTTTCTTGCATAATGTTTGTGAGTCTGGGAACGCTGCTCCCTTTAAGCCTGATCCCCTTGTCCCCAGCCCCTTGCCACCCACTCTGCCTTGCTGACCCACCTTCATTCTGATTGGTCCATTCTAGAGGTCCATAGAAGAGGGTTTTCATGAGAAGGGTGACCTCTGGGTAATGTCCACCTTCCTCTCCCCAGATTCTGAAAAGCGGCCATTCTTCAGATTCCAAGCTGAAAACATCTCCAACTACACGGCCCTTCTGCTGAGCAGGGACGGCAAGACCCTGTACGTGGGTGCCCGAGAGGCCCTCTTCGCACTCAACAGCAGTGTCAGCTTCCTACCAGGAGGAGGGTACCAGGAGGTGAGAGATGATGCCCGGGGCTGGCTAGGCTGGGCAGAGGATGGCAGAGGGGAAGATGAGCAGGACAACGGACCTTCTGGGTCCAAGGAGGGTGCAAACAGAGAGGGGAGCGGAGCCGGAAGGCGTACCTCCCATTCCTACACGCGTACTTACCTGCCCGCTCTCATCCCCCAGCTGCTGTGGAGCGCAGATGCCGAGAGGAAACAACAGTGCAGCTTCAAGGGCAAGGACCCACAGGTGAATTAGCACCTGAAGGTGACCTGGGCTGCAGGCGGGTTGGAGGGTGGTGGACCTGGACTCAGGATGGAGGCTGGAGTGGGAGCAGATGCAGCCAGCAGCGGTGGACAGGGCACAAGCTTCTGGGATGGCCAGACCTGGGTTTGAATCTACTCATTATCTCTGTGACCTTGGACAAGTAGACTGGTGAGCCTTGGTGTCCCCACCTGTAAAATGGGGATATCGATACCTGCAGATGGCACCTGATGTGGCAGGTCTGACAGATCCTGCTTTGGTTTGGGCCACACCAATGGTGTGGGGGGGTTCTGATCCAGTCCGGAGTTCTCCTGGAGGACTCCCCACCATTCCCAGAGGCCTCCTGGTGCTGAGTGCAGCAGGGGACTGCCAAGGTGAAGGAAAAGAACACCGGACTTGGGGTCAGGACACAGGTTCAAGTCCTGACTGCCCCTGACTGCTTTTATTCAGCAACCATTTATTAAGCACTTGCTGTATGCCCAGGTACTTTTAGACACTGGAGATATAATTGTGACAAAGAAGAAAGAACCATAGGCAAAAATCAGTCCGTTTAAAAGGTGGTCAGGTTACACTTCATTAGGAAAAGAGACGCCTGGGCCAAGACAAGGAGGAGGTGAGGGACTTGTCCACTGGGCACGGGGAGAAGGAGCAGGACTGTGGACTTTATTCTGAGTGGAGTGTTTAGGGAACCATTGGAGGTCTGGTCAGAGGAATTGCATGGTCGGCCGTGTGTTTTAAGAGGGTCGTTCTGAAGGCCCTCAGAATGTTTTAAGAGGGTCAACTGAGTGGCTCAGTTGGTTAAGAGCTTGCTCAAGAGTGCGAGCTCTGAGCAACACTGTCGCTGGTTTGATTCCCGGCCCGAGCTGAGCTACCGCTGAGCTGCAAACAGGTGGCAGGACGGCTCAGCTAAAAAACGAAAACAAAAACAAAAGATATGCCAAATTCTGAGAGGGTCACTCTGGCCACCATGGACAGAGGGAAGGAGACCTGTGGAGGGGCATGAGGTGATGGGGACCCAGACCAGGGTGTTACCAATAAAGGGAGTAAGAAATGGTCACATTCCCGATGTACTTTGAAGATGGGGCTGCCAGGATTTCCTGATGGAGAAATGGCGGCAGGGAAGGGTTTGGGCAGCTATCAGAAGCTGGGCTGGAGATGCTCGTAGATGCTTGTGGAGGCTGTCCGTGAGTCTGGGGCCCAGGGGTCAGGGCTGAGTGTCTCCTCCTGCTCTGGGCTGTGGGTTGGGATGGACCAGTGGTTTCTACTGAGGTCCTGAAGAGGACCCTCAGGGGCCAGGACAGCCCAAGATGGGGGATTTTTGTGCCTCACCCCACACTGAAGAAAAGTCTACCAACCACACAGCTGGCTGAGCTCCAAGGTCCCCGTCAAGCACACATGCACTCGCTTGTGGCCCTTGGTCTACTGGGTCCTGGGAGGCTCCTGTTCCCAGATTCTCCAGTGAGTCTGGGGGGAGGATGTGGTGGTACCCCCTGGTGGCTGGATTGGGCCTGACAGCTTCCTCCCTCCTTCCCCAGCGTGATTGTCAAAACTACATAAAGATCCTCCTGCCACTCAACAGCAGCCACCTGTTCACCTGCGGCACTGGGGCCTTCAGCCCCCTGTGCACCTACATCGTGAGTGTCCCTCCTCCACTGGCTCGCCGGCGGCTAGCCTGGGAACTGCCCCTTTTCTGCCACAGGGAGCTAGCTGTTCCCTAGCCCCAGCCCTGAAGGAGGGGTGCGTGTGATCGTCCAGGCACTAAGATCCCGGCCAAGTCACGGCGACACCCTGTAGATTCCTCACCCCTTCTCCAATTCCTCACACCCTTGCGTTTCTACCTTACGCACACCTTAGCAGAGGGTGGCGTTTTGAGGCTGTGGGTTGGAGCGCTGGCCTGGAGCCGGACATACCTTGGTTTGGATTATATTGCTGCCCCTTTCTGGCTCACATCTTTCTAAACCTCGTCTCCCCTCTCCCAACTGGGGTCACTAGTGCCCACCGCAGGGGTCACTGCCAGACAGTGCCGGCACTGTCCTGGGTGCTGGGATGGGGAGGACGGGCTGTGTGACCTCTTCCCGTACCCCCCTAGAGTTGCCTTCTCTATCTAGCGTCCCCTTCCTTCCGCTGGCGTGTTCCTGAGCCTTTCTGTCTGCTACCCTGCAGAACGTGGAGAACTTCACGCTGGCACAGGATGAGACGGGGAATGTCCTCCTGGAAGATGGCAAGGGTCGTTGTCCCTTTGACCCCAATTTCAAGTCCACGGCCCTGGTGGTTGGTGAGTGTTGGGGGCAGGGTGGGTTCATTGAGGCTCCCAGGGCAGGGGGCAGGAGGGCCCCAGGCCTGAGCTGGTGGGACCCTGCCATGGTGGTTCTCAGTGCAGAGTGACCCTGCGCTGCCCTTGGGTTTGGCTTCTCCTAGTTCCCACTCCTTCCTCTGTGCACCCCAAGCGAGGTGGGCAGGGCTGGGGTCACTCTAGGCCCTGAGCAGGGAAGGGAGGCCGTGCCAAGGGGCCGTTCCCATGGGAATGTTCTCTTGGCAGATGGCGAGCTCTACACTGGAACAGTCAGCAACTTCCAGGGGAATGACCCGGCCATCTCCCGGAGCCAAAGCCTCCGGCCTACCAAGACCGAGAGCTCCCTCAACTGGCTACAAGGTGAAGTCCTGTCACCGGCCACCAGTGGGCACGCCCTGGAGCCTTAGGGAGGGGGCACTCCCTCCTGCCCCGGCTGGGCCTGAGAACAGAATTTCGCCTATCTGGTCTTCCTGGGCTGACTCTGAGCTCCCTGCCGGCCCCCACAGACCCTGCGTTTGTAGCGTCGGCCTACATTCCCGAGAGCCTGGGCAGCCCGGAAGGGGACGACGACAAGATCTACTTCTTCTTCAGAGAGACTGGCCAGGAGTTTGAGTTCTTTGAGAACACCATCGTGTCCCGCATTGCCCGTGTCTGCAAGGTGAGCCCCAGAAGGTTCTAGAAAGCAACACAGGTACATGATCTGGAAATGCCAGGAGGTCCCGCTTCTGTGGCCTTCTCTGGTCGTCTGACCTTGAGCAGGTCCCTTGCCTTCTCAGCTTCCTGGTCTGTCGAAGCCGACATCAGAGTTTCCACGTGGATTAAATTAATCCATGGAAAGCTTTTCGGCATGGGATAGGCAGCAACTCAACGTTGCCTGTTAGTGTTATATTCCTACCGCCCCACCGCAAGAAGTGACCACTGTTAACATTTTGGAGGCTTCTTTGCTAATGATTTCTTTATATATATGTATTTATATTATTAAAAAAACCACTTACTAGCAAGAGTTGTACTGCAGTGCAGTACAACAGGAAGTCATGACCTCTTTCCATATTTGGAGACAGACTCCCCTTTGTCCTTTTGTGTGGGATTCCACAGTGAGGAAATCGCTGTCATTTGCTTAGCCTGGTGATGGGGCCTAAACGCTGCCTCCAACTCTTCTTGATTTTACATGGAACTCAGGCCTGTCTTTGGCTTGCCTGCCCTCCCTAGTGTCTGTCCCAGCTACTGCTGGGGAGGGGACAGCAAGGAGCACCAAGCCCCCCACCTAAGTGCCTAAGCCCAGCCTCTGTCTCCCTCCCACAGGGTGACAAGGGTGGCGAGCGAATCCTGCAGCAGCGCTGGACGTCCTTCCTGAAGGCCCAGCTGCTGTGCTCCCGGCCTGACGATGGCTTCCCATTCAACATGCTGCAGGATGTCTTCACGCTGAGCCCCAGCCCCCAGGACTGGCAGGACACCCTTTTCTACGGGGTCTTCACATCCCAGTGGTACAGCTTCTGGGACATAGCTGGGAATGGTGGGGGGGGGGTGAGGCGGGGCAGGCACTGGGGCCCAAAAGCCAACCTTTGGGTCCAACTGGCCTAATCTTCAGCTCTGGGGCTCCTGGATTAATCCAGCCATTTCTTTTATAGGCACGGGGGGACCACCGAGGGCTCTGCCATCTGTGTCTTCACCATGACGGATGTGCAGAGGGCTTTCAACGGCCTCTACAAGGAGGTGAACCGTGAGACGCAGCAGTGGTACACCGTGACCTACCCGGTACCCACGCCCCGGCCCGGCGCGGTGAGGATTTCTCCCTGCACCAGGGTGGGGTGCCGGGAAGATGGGGCCCCACCCCAGGCTCGGATCACTTGGCTTCTCCAAGTCTGTTTTCTCACCTTGAAAGTGGGAACAGAAGCCCAGGCCTGCTTGTCCTACTGGGTTAGATGTGACCGTGAATGTCGCGATGCTTACAAACCTTTCGGGGTGGGCAGGTGTGTCCTTATCAGGGCACTCACTGCGTGCTTCTGTAATTGTCTGTTCACTCGTGCCTTCCCCTCAGCTGTGAGCTGCTTATGGAGTTATTGAGTGATAAAGGACCAGGCCCTGAGAGAAATAGTTCTTTCTTCTTTTCTTCCAGCCTAAAGGGCCCCTCCCCAAGCAGGCTTGAGACAGGATATGGGTACCAGCAGTTTATAGGGGAGGAGATCCCAGGAGGCAGCATGAGGAAATAGGAAAGTGAGAAGGAGGGAGCGAAGCCAGAAAGGGTGTGCCTATGAGCCCTTACTGCTGTGGGCACCTGGGGCTCAGTTCCCTGGGGCCCTGAGAGGCTGTGTGGAGCACATGTCAGCATTGCCCCGTTAGAGTGTTTGTCACCAACCCCTGTGCCTCATTGGCTGAAGGTCACTCCAGGGCTCTTACAGAGAACACCCTCGGGTAGGAGAATCAAGAAGCTCAAGGTAGTGTGGGAACAAACTGCAGGCAAACCTGGTCAGCGAAAGGGTGCTAACCGAGCAGGAAGTTGGTCCTGCTGCTCAGGGCCTGGGGGAGGGGCAGGGAGGAGGCACAGCAGGGCAACCTGCCAGCTGGGGCCCTTGCGTGCCCCACACCCTGAGCTTTGCCCGATGGCCTCCAGATGAGCGCCTTGGCTCTGCAGACCTGCAGGCGATGTGCCACGGCTTCTGAGGGCGGGCCAGCACCCCTGCCGTGCCCTGGGGAGGCAGCCAGGGCAGGGTCCGTGGGCCCCCATCCTGCCCTGAGTGTCGCTTTCCTCATGCTGCCACCTTCTCCTTCAGTGCATCACCAACAGCGCCCGGGAGAAGAAGATCAGCTCGTCCCTGCAGCTTCCCGACCGTGTGCTGAACTTTCTCAAGGACCACTTCCTGATGGACGGGCAGGTCCGAAGCCGCCTGCTGCTGCTGCAGCCGCAGGCCCGCTACCAGCGGGTGACCGTGCACCGCGTATCTGGCCTGCACCACACCTATGACGTCCTCTTCCTGGGCACCGGTGAGTGGCTGCAGCAGGCCAGGCTCCCCGTCCAGACGGCATGGCTGTGGGGTCGTGGGCAGTGGGTTCCACTCAGGGCCTGAGTACTGCCCTCGCTCCAGGTGATGGCCGGCTACACAAAGCAGTGGTCATGGGCCCCAGGGTGCACATCATTGAGGAGCTGCAGATCTTCTTACCAGGACAGGCCGTGCAGAACCTCCTCCTAGACGCTGACAGGGTGAGACCAGGCGGAAGGGGCCGTACCGCGTGCTTGGAGTGCCCTCTGATCGAAAAGCAGTCCCCACCCAGCTTTCCCCCACTTGCCCCAGTGGGATGGGAAGATCCAGGCCTGTGGCCTGAGCTATCGGAAAATGGGGTGCCCAGATGCATGAGAGGAGGCCCTCGGGGAGTGGCTGTGGTGGGCACGTGAGCCAGGTGTGGCCGTGGGTGGCCCTGGCTACCCGGGCCTGCCTCTCATCTCTGTGTCTGTGCAGGGACTGCTGTATGCTGCCTCCTACTCGGGTGTAGTCCAGGTGCCTGTGGCCAACTGCAGCCTGTACCGGAGCTGCGGGGACTGCCTCCTTGCCCGGGACCCCTACTGCGCTTGGAGTGGCTCCAGCTGCAGGCACATCAGCCTGTACCACCCTGAGGCAGCCTCCAGGTGAGACCTCCTGGAGGCCCCTTCCCACTTGTTTATCCACCCCCCCGTGCATTTGGCTTCGGAGCACCTTTTCCGGGCCCACTGCAGAGTCACTACGTAGCTTCGTTTGCGTCCACTGTCGGCATAGTGATTAATTAGCTCCCCTTCTGACTCTCAAAAGTGTTGTGGTTCAGATGATAAATTGTTTGCCTTACCCAGCTATAAAGCGGTGACAGGATTTGGAAAAGTATGAAATGTCACAGCTTTGCAGGGGAATGTGGATTAGCGTGTGTGTTTAAGTAACAAAAAATAAGGTCCACGCAACTGTCCATTAACAAACCCATTGAAAACAGTTTTCAGAATAACTTGTTTGGGTTGTAAAAGGTTTATACAGAAAACTTAAAAAATAGAGATAAGCCCAATCAAAATATAACTACCCCTAATCCCACCACCTAGAGAGAATCACAGTGAGGATTTGATATATTTCCTCCCCGATTCTTCTGTATAGTTTAAAATAAACAAAATACATATTTTTAAATTAAAATGGGGTCTGCCCCACTTGTAGTGTCCTTGCTTCACACAGGGGGATACGTGGTGCCAGTTTCAGATTTCAAAAAAACCACATCTGAGTACACATCTGTACACCTGGTCAGACACACCAAAAATGCTCCCTGTGATGATCGCTGGGTGGTAGATTGTGGGTGATTTTTGCCCAACCTTGTGCTTGGTTGAATATTTCAGGTTTTCTGGGTACTTTTCTTCTTTAATGTATTCTATTAAAGTCAGTGCACGTGCATTGCTTTAAAAGAGACAGCTGTATACGTACAGACCCAGCTCTCTTTCCACACTTTTTCTAAAGGCTCGTGCTGCTTTTGTAATTCAGGGAAGTATTGTAGTAACTTTTATTTGAAGTAAATAGTGTGTAGACAGAGATGCTGACTCAGCCCTTACGGGGATGGCTGCATGAGGACCCGTGTTGCACCTAGGTTGGGGTGGGTGGGGGAGTGCAGGCTCACAAGGCATTCCTGGCCTATCCCAAACTCTCTTTGGTCCTCAGGCCATGGATCCAGGACATTGAGGAGGCTAACGCCAAGGTCCTCTGCAGCACTTTCTCGGCCAAGCCCCGGGTTTCTGTACCAACAGGTAACGTGTCCCTCAAAGGGTGGAGGGAGGCAGGGGCCAAGTTGCTTAGAAGGCTCCTGAATTTGGGCACTGGTGGGTGTAAATGCCTTTCCTCCCATCCTCATCCCTCCAGCCTGCAAGCAGGGTCCTGGGAAGTGAGAGTCACAGTCTTCCAAGTCCTCAGAGTTGCCATCGTGGCATGATGAGCACAGCCCAGAGGGAGGTGGGTGATCTGGGGCTGCCGGGGCTGCCAGGCCCCCTGTAACCTGTGCCTGTGCCTCCTCTGCCTGCAGGCGAGAAGCTGTGTGAACAAGTCCAGTTCCAGCCCAATACAGTGAACACCTTGGCCTGCCCCCTCCTCTCCAACCTGGCGACCCGGCTCTGGCTGCACAATGGGGCCCCTATCAATGCCTCGGCCTCCTGCCGGGTGCTGCCCACTGGGGACCTGCTACTGGTGGGCAGCCACCAGGAGCTGGGGGTGTTCCAGTGCTGGTCACGAGAGGAGGGCTTCCAGCAGCTAGTGGCCAGCTACTGCCCAAAGGTAGAGGACATGGTGGCAGATCGGAGCGGAAAAGGGCCTGTCATCATCAACACGTCGCGGGTGAGTGCACCAGCCTATGGCAAGGCCAGCTGGGGTACGGACAAGTCCTATTGGACTGAGTTCCTGGTGATGTGCACGCTGTTTGTGTTAGCCACGCTGCTCCTGATTTTATTCTTCCTCTACCGGCATCGGGGCGGCATGAAAGACTTCCTGAAGCAGGGGGAGTGTGCCAGTGTGCACCCCAAAACCCGTCCTGTAGCGTTGCCACCTGAGACCCGGCCACTCAATGGCGTCGGCCCTCCTAGCACCCCACTCGACCACCGAGGCTACCAGGCCCTGTCGGATAGCTCCCCGGGGCCCCGGGTCTTCACTGAATCAGAGAAGAGGCCACTCAGCATCCATGACAGCTTTGTTGAGGTGTCCCCGGTGTGCCCCCGGCCCCGGGTCCGCCTAGGCTCTGAGATTCGGGACTCGGTCGTGTGACACCTGACTTCTAGAGGACACCACCCTGGCTTCAGGGGCCGTGAATACTCAGAGGGGGTCAGCTGGACTTCTGCTTCTCGTGACACACAACGTGGTACCCAGCCAGCCCTTGGGAGTCATGGAGCTGGCTGGCCAGCTACTCTTCAAGCAGCGTGGCCCCCTCCAAACCAGATAGCCATGGCCCCGGAGGTCCTGGCTGAAGATGGCGCCTGCCTAGGTGGGAAGAACAGTACTTCTTACGTAAACTGAGCCTTCTGAAAATGTGAAATGAGAGTGAGAAGTGAGACGACATAGAATGCTGTGTACGTGGCCGTTGTAGTTCCCAGCCCTCAGTCTCAGGGGGGACTTTGGGGAGACAGACAGCAGCCTGGCCCCAGTGCTTGGATTCACCTCGTCCACGGGAATTAAAGGCATTGTCACACCCCAAAAAAAACAATAACAAAAACAATTTGGAATCATCCAAAGTGGTCGTTTGAGACCGTTTGTAATCCCTCACCAGCTGGCCTCTTCCAACCTCTGCCCTTTTCACTGCAGAGCCAGAGGCCAGCTCAGGCTCCATGGGTCCTGCCTGGCCAGCTGGCCGAGTTGTTACGGCCATCATCCTGTCACCTCAGGGACCGGAGAGCTATGCTGGCACAGCAGCCCACAGAAAGCCCTGGGCTCGAGCCACCTCTGGACCTTTCCAGCCTGTATCAGGCTGTAGTCACATGAGAGAGCAGGCAGCATAAGCCCAGGAGAGATTTTGACGATGTACACCTTGCCCTTGAATTCTAGGAAGAGACGGTTGCCTGCTTTCCTATCTCCATCCTGAGAACCCATCTGCTTCTATCCCCACATCACCCCTAGCCTTGTCTTCGAGGCCAGGCCCCCTTCATCCCCACACTTTGCCTGCCTCCACTCTCTAAAGGATATTGATACTGCCCAACATTTTCATGGGCCCTGAATTTATGTGGGTTTTATATTTTTTTTTTAAATGAGGTGCACTTTACAGCCATTTTTTGTAATAAAATGTAAACAACTGTAATTGAATCGTGGCCCTTCCTCTTAAAGGACTGTTGCTTTTTGAGGTTGGTCTAGTTCTCTGACTTCTAGAGGGTTCCGAGCCTCCTCCTTCCAGGGGCCAGTGGGCCAGAGCCAGCCTCGCCTGGACGACTGCATCTCCCCGTGGAGTGTGGTTCTTCAGGTGCGGGGTTGAACACACAGATGGGGTGGGGGCAGCAGACTCATTCACTGTACCTCAACCCCTTACTCTGTTCAGGGGTGGGGGCACAGAGGACAGGGTGTTTTGTTTAACTCTGTAAAATTTTTTAAAAATGATCATACAGTAAATGAATTTTTCTTTTGGTATACAGTTCTATAAATCTGAACACACATAGAAATTCATGTGACCCCCACTACAGTCAGGATCCAGGTGGAGTTCCATCCCCCCAGGCTACCCTTTCATGTTCACTGCCTCAAGAGGGGGTGGGGAAGCCCAGTGTGCCTCCCAGTGGTCATGTATTCCTAGTGTGGCCGAAGTCTCCTGAACCTGAAGCCCAGTCCTTCCTCATACCAGTGTTTCTAGGGTCACGCACAGAGTCAAAACTGCTACACCTTTATTATTGATTAGTAGAAACACAAACAAAGCAAATGACAATGGCAGTTTGAAGGGGAGAGGCCCTGACATGGGAGGCCCTCCCCCAACCTAGACAAGACTGCGCAGTGCCAGCTCGACTGGGCCAGCTTGGCCGGCCCTGGCAACACAGGCGTAACCTTGGGCACAGCTCAGCAGTGGAAAGGTTCTTTGACAAGGTGCTGGGACACACACTGTGGCTCCTGTCACAGGACAATCTTGAAGGAGCTAAACAAGAGAAGAGTGGGTTGGATTTTCTACTGGAAGACAAGTGTTAGGAGTAACACAAACGTTCCCACCTCTCCCCTAAGACCCTTTTGAATGAGTTGTGTCCCACATCTGTCAGTTCCCTTTGGGAGAAGAGATACCCTGACACATTTAGAGGAAGCAGGGGGCTTTCCTGAGCACCATCCCCATAACACCGTGCCGGACCCAGATGCCACCCACATCTTGGGACCACTGTTATACCTGGCAAAGTCCGGTGAACGGGAGATGACGTGCTGGAACTCAGAGAGGTTGATGGTCCCATCCCTATCAATGTCGGACTCTTCCAGGATCTGGGAAAGGGAGCGTGTCAGGCCAAAGCCTCAACCTTTCCCTCCGCTCAGGGGCCCACCCCTGCTGGGCCCAGATGCTCACATTGTCAATGAGCTGCTTCATCTCTGAAGCACTGAGCCGGGTGTCCTCGCCCTCTCCTGTGAGGCAGTTCACGAGCCGGCTCAGGTCTTCTCTGTTCAAGGTTCCATCGTCATCGAAATCTAGACAGCAGACACAGGAAGCCCAAAAGGATGTGGTCAGGATGAGTTCCAGGGTTCCAGAATGAGCCCAGCTCCCAAGCAGTACCACTGGGGAGACCATGAGTTCTACCAGGCCCCTTCCAGTCCTTACCGAAGATGCGGAAGGCATAGTGGGACTTGATGTCTGGCGTTGCTGTGTCACTGAACACACTGAGGAGGTCCAGGAAGTCCTCGAAGCTCAGGCTGTCTCTGTCTGGGGAGGTTGAGAAGACCTTGCAGATTCGCTCCTTGAAGGGGTTGGCCTAGGAAGAGAGCCTCTGTGAACACCGCAGGACGCAGCCCAGTCACACATTCAAACCTTACTGGGAACTGGAGGAAGGAGGCTCGTGGGGGAGAATGACGAGCACTTTGGGGCCAGCATGGGGGTGCAGGACCAGTGACCCAGCTGGGGAGGGGGCAGGAACGGCTTCTGGGAGTCAGAGATTAACCCACAGGTTGGCCTGAGGGCAGAGAAGGAAGGCAGTCTAAGCAAAGAGAACAAAATAGGCTGGTTAACTGAATGCTTATTGTGTTATAGGCACTAGGCATAGAAAATTTCATAGCAGCCCTATTGAGAGGCAATCAACCTCTGGAACAGGGTTTCTCAAACTGGAATAAGGTAACTCAATTCCTCTTTGAAGCTCCAAGACTATGTTTTAGAAGCCCAATTTGAAAAACACCACTCTAGATGATTCCAGTAGGTGCTTTAGGTAAAGCCCTTGCCCCCCAGGAAATTGGGGCTAAACAGAGAAAAGACCAGAATGGGGACCAGTGACTGCATGACTTCAAGATGAGTAGCAGAGGGGAGGGGGGCTGGCACCTTGAGCTCTGGAAGGCTGAGGATCTGCTCCAAGGACACCCGTGCCTGCAGTGACTCCTGCGTACTCCGGTACTCGTGCGGAAGCAGCTCACAGAACCGCCTGTGGGCTCTGGTAGAAGGAGGGGGACCTGTTGGTGTACCCTCCTGTGTGCATTACATCCCCACTCCTTGCCTTGCTGCCCACTGCACATCAGGTGAGGAGCTAAGCCACATACAGAGAGAACTTGAGTCAGCAGGCTTGATAAGCCAAAGGGAAATATGTCACAAGATGGTACAGGCTGGGACTCCATTCTTGCAATGGGTACTTCCTAGGGGCCTACTGTGTGCCAGGCATGTGCTGAATGGGCACTGGTCCTAGAGCTCCCTGAGAGATGGAGAGGTTGGGGACGGAGCCAGAAGTTGGCCCTGAAGAACAGGGAGAAAAGAGCAGAGCCTCCCTCTTTTTAGGAGCTACACTGATCTATCTCCTCCGTAGCCCCACCTCCTTCCCCCTGGGATTACTTTAGCCCAGGGAAGCTGGTACACGGCTAGGAAGGGGGTTCCAGCCCCAGTTCAAATCCTCTTTCTCGGAGTGTAGTCTTAGGCAAGTTACCAATCCTCTCTGGACCTGCTTCATTGCCCCTGTACCTCCCTTGGAAGGATTAAATTAGGTAATGTAGGGTAATCCAGCGCCGTTCCTAGCAAGTGCTCAGTAAACGTTAACGGTTACTGTACTCTTCAGGTAAAGTTGGGAGAAGGAGCCAGGCTCCCCAAGGCTTCTCTGGCTTTGCCAGGAGGCAGTCAGCCGAGAGCCACAGCAGCCCCCGCCGGACTGGGGCAGGAAGTTCGGGTCTGCTGAGGCCAGTGGAGCACAGGGTCAAAAAGCGCCCAACTTTGGCTGGGGGTTGCACAGCTGGGGGCCCCGTGCGGGCGGGGAGGGCGTGCCCGCAGCCGGGCACAGCCGAGGGCTCGGGACGCAGGACTGCAGTTCCGGCTCAGCTGCCGACTTCGGGCAGGCCCCTCCCTCTGAGAGGGCCTCAGTTTGCCCATCTGCAAGACAGAGGCCCCCGAAAGAAAGAGGATCCCGGAGAAAAGGTTCGAGACGGCACTTACAGGAGGATCTCCTGCTTGGTCAGGAACGTCAGGTCCTGGAAGGCAGAAGACAGGTAGTCAGCGGACCCGTCCTCCCGCCGGCTCCAGGACTCCGCTCCCGAGCTCAGGCCAGCGCGCAAACTCCCCGGGGCCCAGAGTCCCGCGCACCTGGTACTCGGCCAGCAGCTCCTTGGACAGGCGGCTGCCCGAGCCCCCCATTGCCGCGCCGCGCGCACAGCTCCACCAACTCTTCTCGGGACGCCGGCAACTTTCTCACTTCCGCCCTCGGGCCGCGTCCCCGCCCCGTCCCCGCGGCAACAGCTCCTGGGCCTAGCGTCCCCGGGCCCGCCCCCTCCTTAAAGCGCTCAGGAGATCCCAGCCGGGTTCCGCCACCGGCGCCCAGCTCCGGGCGGTCCCCGGCAACTTGGAGGCGGGGCCCTGGGCAGGGCCGGACTCTCCGGGGCGGAGCCCAAGCCGCACGGCCCCGCCTCCATGGGGGCGGGACGGGGCACGCCGCGTGCGTGCGTGCAGGCTGCGCATGCGTTAAGAGCGCCACGCCTTCGCTATGGCCGCGGTAGGACCTTCAGGGAAGTCGCGCGATGCATCCTCCTCACCTGCAGTAGGTGGTCCCGGTGGCGACTTGGGCGAGGTCCAGTAAGGGGCATCAGGGAAGTCTCTGGAGCCAGGTTAACCGAAAAACTCGCGGAGAGAGGCCGTGTGCTGCCCCTCTGCTCAGGAACGGCTTTTCCATCCAGACGTTACCACCCGGCACCCGCCTCACGTGTTGCAGCCCTCTTGCCACCTCTGCAGAAATAATCATAACGTTGCTGCCTACTGAGGCTGTTTACTGACGACCCACCTAATGCCAAGCTCTGTGCACAGCTACTGCGATTCTTACAACAGCCCTACAAGGTAGGGTCCCATTTCAAAATGTGGAAGTACAGAGGTCCAGAGGGGCTGGGGTGGCTTGTTTAGGCTCCGGCATTTAGAAAGCCATTTAAGAAAGCCGTCGCTCCCTTCTAAGGCTGCCTTCAAAGCTTCCCACTGTTGTAGTCTTCACTCCAACCCGTATGCTTTCCTCTGTGAGCCCCACTGTTGTGGAAATATTTTACCCTGCACCCAGACTGTGCTGACCTCCTGGTAGCTCTTGCTTGCCCCTCAAAACCCCTAGGACAATGCTTGGCACATAGTAGGCTCTCAATAAGTATTTATTGGATGCATGCATGAATGCGTGAACCTATACTATCTCAAAAGGGGAGGATTCCAAGCTGTTTAGAGGCGGAAGCGGAGGTGACATGAATTCTTTTGTTTTCAGTTTTATCGAGGTATACTTGACAGATAAAGTCGAGGGGTTAATTCTTTTTTTTTTTACTTTTTTTTAATTAAATTATTTTTATTATGAAATACACATTTTTAAGAATTAGTTTCAGCTGTACAACACAGTGCAATAGTTATACTTTTTACCCCTC